AGACTCAGTAACCCATATTGTCAGGTGGTCTACACCCCATGTTGACATCTCATCTCCTCATGTGGGAAGAAACACCAGGGTTTGAACTCATTGCCACACACTTAATATACAGTCACTCTACTACTTAAAGCCCTTTTTGCTTTAGTTATCTTTCAGACACAGTCCTGTATTTTTTGCCTGGATCTATGCTGGGCAATGATCCTCCTTCCTATGACTCTGTATAGCTGAGATTACAGGTGTATACTCCCATGCACAGATTGTTTACTGAGAAGGGGAATTACTAACTTTTTGCCCAGGCTAGCATTGATCATGCTTGTTTTCTGGTTCAGTCAAATGCCAGTTAATGTCTGAGCACCACAGTAATCTAGCACTCAGTAGCACTCAACTTTGTCCTCAGGGAAGGACTTTGAGAGAGTCAGGGCAGCTTTGGCCATGAGTAGAGAGACTAGGAACATAACTAATGTTCATGAGTGTCTGTTATTTGTGTTAACATTGGTGAACTGAGTGCTTGGTTAGGCTTCTGCTGTAACCAGCATTCAAAGTAACCACTGGTGACTTCTATAAACAGCAGCCACAGATATGACTGACTGTGTACAGGGTCAGTGAAAACAAGAGGGTCACCACAGCCTGAGAACTTGACTGGGGAAAGAAACAAGCACTTTGGGAATGAGGAAAGAGGACAGGAGATCACTGCAAATTATGGTTTCTGAAATCTTCATGAACCAGAGCAGATACTGAGGCATGAAGAAGGTTGGGGAAGTGTCTAGGTCTTGGTGTGGACGTTCCAAAGATTAACTGGCCTCACAACTGCACCTGGACTGTAGCATGGTCCTTTTTCCTCCTCCTTAGTTTCTTGGTAGAAGATATGTCATTATTTTGTAGACTCTTATCTAACACCAATAGAACCAATGGATTTGGGGTTCTTGGTCTGAGGAGCAGCTCCACCAGCAGGGAAGCTGGGTTGTTTTGAACTCTGAGTTTCCCCATGGGAGGAAGCACCTGCCTAACCCATTATGTCAGGCCAGTTCATGTGTGAGCCATGAGATTCTGGTTCAGGCCCTGCAAACACTGAGAAAAACCACAGCACCCTCTGCTATGCTTTGATATCTATTTGTACTTCCTGGTGTTAAATATCTGCTCTAAAGGTATTCAAATTCACTGAAAAATTTTGTTTCCTTCTCCAGAAATTTGTTTAAATTTCATTATTTTTCCATTCTGTGATTACCATTTGCTTATTTTTGTGGTTTCTACTTTTTGACATTTGTATTAGTATGAATAATTATAAAACTTTAAAAATCATTGTGATAATGTCATACACGCCTATAAGGGACTTTGAAAAAACTAAGCCCTCTAAGCTGTTATTGATCACCTCCCAATTCTCTCCATCTTTAGTTTGTTTCATTGTTATTATTATAATTTTTAGTAGTACTAGTAGTAGTAGTTTGGATTCCACATATAGAAAATCATGTGCTATTAATTTTTTATGAGCTTGGCTTATATAACTCATTATTAATATCCAGTTCCTCCATTTTAGTGCAAATGATATAATTTCATTTTCTTTATGGCAGAGAACTATTCCATTCTGCGTATGTACCATGTTTCCTTTATTCATTCACCAGTTAGAGGCACCTAGACTGATTCCATTGCTTGGCTACTGTGAACAGTGCTGCAATAAACATGGCTATTCAGTTGTCTTGACTGTTAATTACCTTACAATCCTTCAGATATATTCTGAAGAGTGGTATAACAATATCATAGAGTAGTTGCATGTTTAGTTTCTTGAGGAAACTTCATACTGATATCCTTAGTGGCTGCTCTATTTATTTTCCTGCCAACAAAGTGTAAGTGTCCCTATTTCCCTGCATCTGTGCCACCATTTGTGGTTGTTAGCTTTCTTGATGGTAGACATTCTGACTAGGATTAAATGGACTCTCAGTGTCATTTTGACTTATGTTTATGATGTTGAACATTTCTTCGTATAGTTATTAAAGTTTGTACTTTATCTTCGGAGAACTGTCTGTACATTTCATTTGTCTGTTATTGATTAAATTACTCATTCTTTTGGCATTTAATTTCTGAGCACTTCATATATTCTAAATTTTTTCCTTTGCCAATGGATAACTTGCAAACATTTTCTCCCAATGTGTGGCATGTATCTTCTTTTTAGTCATTGTTTCTCTGATGTTCAAAGGCTTTTTAATATGATGTAATCACATCTGTCAGTTCTTGCTCTTTTTTTCCTGAGTAACTGAGGGCCTATTCATAGTCATTGTGTCTACCTATACCTCAAGTGTTTTTCTAATGTTCTCCTATAGCAGTTTCAAAAATTTGGGTCTTACATTAAAGTATTTGATGCATATTGAATTGACTTTTGTACAGAATGAGCGATGGGGTCTAGTTTCATTTTTTTATGTGAATATACATTTTTCACTTAGACATATATTATAAAGGCTATCTTATAAACCATGTTTTTGGTTTCTTTGTCACAAAATCAGATGTCTGTAACTATATGAGTTTATTTGTGAGGCTTCCCTTGAATCACCCTATTTTCAAGAGTAACTAAAATAGCTCATCAATTAGATTGGTATTTCAAAAATTTCTGTCTCATAATTTCTGTCTCTGGATTTTCTTTCCTCTTTCTTGATTTTGTTATATTTAAAATTGTCATGAAATGGGTGAACTTCTTCAAAATACACTGAATGCTTTTGTGGATTTTGTATAATGGAACAACCTCATATTATCAATACACAATTATTGGAAATAAAATTTTGAAAAAGTTAAATTACATGCTGAGTATTTTGTACATTGTATTATGAGACACTCTAGGAATTGATTAATATATTTGTAATAGTAGTTATTTGTGCTTCCTTGGTTTTCTGTACTGAATTTTATTTTGTCATTCTCAGGAAAAAAATGACACACATTTCCATTTGGAAATAGTTAGTTTCAGATTTTACCAGCAGTCAAATCCTTGTATATATGAGGCATCTGTATGCCTTTTCCATCCACGAAATGTTTTCAGAGCCTCACATCTTTGGCTATTCCAGGTTTTTAAGAGATTCCCTCTTAATTTTAGGGGTGTTATTTAAATTTCTATGAAATATGTCATTGGAATTTTCATAGGGCTTACATTGAATGTGTAGGTCAGGTTTAGGAATATAGTTATCTTCACAATATTAATTTCACCAATTCATGATTAAGTCTTTGACTCTCATAGAATTTTCATCAATTTCATTCTTGAATTTTTATACTTTTCATTGTACAGGTCTTTCACTTAATTGTTTTGGATTTTCCAACATATTTTTGTAGATACTGTAAATTGGAAAGTTGATTTGTTTCTCTGCAGGCTCACTATTGCCATTTACAAAGAGAGTGCCTTGTTATTTATGGGAGTTTAGCATTCTGTTGCTTCGATGAAAGTACTTAAGAATTCAGAGAGTTTTCTGGTATGTTATTTAGGGTCTCTTAACAGAGATTCATAACATCTGCAAATAAGGATATTTTTAGTTTTGTATTTGTATTTCTTTATTTCATCATCTTGCTTAGTGCTCTATCTAGGAATTGCAATACTATACAAAATTAGAGTGGAGACAATAGACACATTTTTCTCAATCTTGATTTTAAAGAAGTGCTTTCAAAATTTGTCTCAATTCTTCATTTTGTTATTGATATTTTTGTCATTTATTGCCTTTATTATGTTGAAGTATGATCTTTCTATTCCTAGTTTCTTCAGACATTTTATCATGAACTATTTTATATCCCCACATGGTTAAAAGCCTATACCATAGGAGCAATGACACAAAGTGAAACATCTTCCCTCTAGATCTATTCTGTGCAATATGACCACCAAGAGTCACAGGTAGCTGCTGAGCCCTTGGTTTTTGTGGCTCAGATAAAGGTGTGCTGTTGGAGTGAAGTACACACTATATACCAAAGACTTCATATAAAAGTAATATATTTAGTTACAGTTTTAAATATGGACTACATTATTGGATTGATTATGTTACAGAACATTGAATGAAATATAATTTATTATGTAACTTAATTCTATCATTTTCACTTAAACATGGTTAGATGACAATTTGAGATGCCAAATTCACTTTCAATTACATTTATATTGGACTCTGCAGAGTTTGATACTTCTGTTACTACAAGAGTGTCATAATCAGTCACCTACTTTCGTAAAAAGTAAGAGAACTTTTTGGAGCCATGAACTCAAGTTGTAGTACCAGTCTTGAAAGCTCAGTGGGAGGCCACAGGATGGTGGAGATGCCCTGGGGAATGAGCCCTGGGAGTCCTGCCTTTCACACTGAGCTCCCATCTAGAGCACCAGGACCTCAGAATAGTCTCCCCATGGACTCAAAGCCCATCAGGAGATGTGCAGACTGATACCTATATCCAGGATCCCCATGAATTTTTCAGGTAGATTCACAGAGAGTTCATATTCTTGTTATTGTCCTGAGGGAACATGGTTTAATGTGACCCTCAGTCAGGGGCCACTACAGCCCAGGTCATTGTGGACTGAGGTTGTTTTCAGTGTAAAAATTGACACTTGGATGTCTGTTGACCCTCAATACTGGACTCCTTTAGTGTCTCTTCTGCCCACCCTCAGCCTGTCTACTGGCTGTTCCAACTGCATATCTACATCCCCTATGATGTTGGAGGAGACTGAGAGCAAGAACATTCTGACTCCAAGTGACCAGATAATCTGCATCACCTAAGGGGGTATGGATAGTGAACACAGTCTTGCTTTTACAGCTGTGCCCACACTGACCTCCCCAGCACAGCACAGAAACATGGCATTGTTAGGAAACAGAGGCTGAGCTGGTGTAGTTCCTGTAGCAATGTGCTTTGGTTTTGTTTTGTGAGCATCCAACTCATGTGCAGCCTTTCTTCAGAGACATGAATTTCAAAGTCACATGCCATAAGACCACTCTGCACAGGCTGAGATAGCAAGTTTAGAGCAGGAAGGAAGCTGTGAGTTCACAGCAGGTATTGGGTTAACTTCCCCATGAACTTTCACTACTGTGTAAATTGTTACTTCCTGCATATGAAGCACAGTAATAATCAGCCTCATCCTCAGGCTGGAGCCCTGAGATGGTCAGGGAGGCTGTGTTGCCAGACTTGGAGCCAGAGAAACGATCAGAAATCCCTGATGGACGACTATTCACATTGTAAATCAGGAGTTTGGGGTTTAATCCTGGTTGCTGTTGGTACCAAGATACATAATTGTACTTCCCAATATCATTGCTGGTTCCAGTACAGGAAATGGTAGCTGTCTGGCCAAGAGATCCAGAAGTTGAGGGAGGCTGAGTGAGGGTTGACTGAGCCCATGAGCCTGAAAAGAGGGAGAAACACTCTGGTGAGTCATTGCTGAGCCCATGTGAACAAAGGAGGCGTAGACAAAGTGTCAGCCTAGATATTACAATGCTCCCTTCCCTGAAGTCTCACCTTGACTGAGGATAGTGAGGAAAACCAGAGGCCAAGCCATGCTGGAGACACCCAAAGAGCACTGCATCCTGAGACCTATGAACTGACTCTGACTCCCCCATACCACTCTTATCCCCTACCCTACCTGAAAGGAAGTAGGGGCCTTCATGCAAATCTCTTTCCTAAAACTGTCTTTCCTCACCCCACTCTGACCTGCCATGAACTGTAGACATTTTGGCATCTTTACACAGCAGATCTTACCTGAGGGGATTACAATTTATGAATGACTTTTCTGAGTCAGTGAACAGTGAACCCATGACAGTTCCCAGAAAATTTAACCAACCCAGACATGTGTCAGCCTTTCCTTTGTGTCATTCATGGTGGTTCCATACTATGATGTTCAAATACTAACCCTTCCTTGATTGTGGTGTGAGATTAGAGATAGGATCCTAGAATGATATGGAGGACCAACCACTCCTCCTTACAGACATCAAAAGCAGAGCAGGACTTCACCTCTCCATCATATCCTCTAGTCCCTTAATTAGGGTGGCTTACTTGCACTATGCTGTCACCAGGTCCCTACAGCCACAATTAGTCAGGGGCTTGAGGTTGAGACCTGCGTACATTTGTTGGACTTTGCAGAAAAGGATATTTTGGAATACAACAGATTTTTGACACTCCCTAACATCATAGAAGAGTTTCAGGAAAAAGCAGGTATGGGAGATCATAAAGTCCCTGGAAACCATAGCAATGATCTTCCCCAAATCTAGCTCTGTGCTGCCCCCTGGTGGCCTAATTCAGAGTCTCCCATGTAGTTAAGTGAGAGCTGAACCTGCCTACTCTCTTCTGCTTTCCCCGGTTCCTCACTCCTATCCAGGTCAGGCCCCTGGTTCCTTATACTCCTCATTTGACCCCCTTCCCTTTGTCTTCTTGCTTCCTCCAGGATGGAATGTGTCGTTTACCACACCATGTACTCAGATCCAACACCTCTGGATTTTTTGATTGTCAAAGAAAGGCTGTCACAGGGTGAGTGGATAGACACTCACCTCTTCAGATTAGAGACAGTCACCCCGTATCTGAATATAGAAATATTGTACAGCATAAATAGTCAAACAGGAGGAGGATGACTAGATGAGAAATATGAGATTAAGGAAAGGATTTAATCATTTCAAAATGGTTTAATGAATAATAGTGAATTAAAAATAGAAGAGTCAACCAGGATTTAAAATGGTCTACAGGAAAAAAAGAAGGTAACTGCAGTGTTTGAGGATGTGGGAGAAGAGGCTAAGGAACCCATTTCCAGGAATATCTCAACAGAGCCTGTCTGAGTGTCTCCAGGGACAGAAATTCTTCTTAATTTTAATCCTTTATACATTGGGAGAAACCTTTATACACTATCAACCATGAGCCCTGGATCATCTCCTCAATCTTCAGTCATATGACCTAGTGGGTTTTTTTGTATCTCTAGTAGTTCCCCATATATATTTGTGAATAATTCTCATTTAATGCAAAAAACATGCAAGAGGAAATAAAACTGTCATTTTAAATTGTGATATTTTCTTAATATCTCAGAAACCATCAGTGTTGTTAATATTCATGTTCACTAATACTTCACATAAATTCTCACTCACGTTAATAAAGGTATTTAGAATGCATAATATGAGCCCAGGATGATGGACTCACAGCTTATGTGCTAAAGAGAGCTGGAGCACCAGGGTGATAGTATTTAGTCAAACCCTAGAGATTCTTTTCTTAATTTTCACTACCAATTAATAACTACCAAGAAGAAATCTCTTTTTGCTATTTTGTTTTATTGTACATTTAAAGATAAATGGAGGGTGTGATGAACCTCATGGGCTACATTCATCAATCTCATTCTTAAGGCAGTGAATGCCACCCCCCCACATAAATTGTAAACGTCCTACCACAGCACTGTATTTTTAGTTCTTTTTTCTCCCATATCAACAAATGTTCACAACTCCCTGGGTATGTATTTATTTGTTCTAAATAACGCAAGCATCTGAATATTCCCATTTGTTTTTAGGAAATAAGGCTAAATTACACAGCCTTGAAAACAATAAATGTCTTTGTATTTAATTAAACTTCAAGGTCCCCAAATAATTGGTATGTCTCTCATTGTATTGTACCACCCTCTAAGATGGCCCTATCAAATATGGTCAATTATTATCTATAAATTCAAAGACATAATGCATTAAAAGCAGAAAACTGTTTATGAAAAGAACTTCTTTCATCAAAGAAGTCTTTTCCTCAGACTAAAATTGAGGGCATAAAATTGAAATTGACCTCAATTATCAAGGTATTCATTGCTTTTATCATATTTCCACTTATACTTTCAGGTGTCCATATGGTTCTTTCTGGGATTTCACTGAAGTTATCAACATTTCTATAAAAGTCAAATCATAATAAGAACTGTCTTGCAATGCCAACACAAAAAATGAGTCAGGACATTTGAAATGTTATTGACAAGTTGGCACGTGTATTTTTGTCTTTTTGAGGAAAATTCCATTTCATTCACTCTAATATGTGTGAGATATGGAGTAATGTATAGAAAACTCTTTGTACTGATGAAAAATAATAGACAAGTTGGTTATGGAAAATATTTCTGTATTTTACCATATATCTCAGTGCATTTGGTAAATAAAAGCATTTTGAAATATTACTTAAATTTTTGTACTTTTATAGCAATATATTCAATGTAATTTGGAAACTGTTAGATAAATACATTAATTTCTTTTAACATTTAGTGCTTGAGTATTTCGTTTTATTTTCTCTTTTGCTCCCATTGCCCTCTAATAATGTTTTATGTTTTCTTCCACCTGTCTACAAACTCCACATGCCCTAACACATTTTTTGGGACAGAATACAATGAAATTGTTTGGATTTATTTGGCTACATTGTACTGTTTTATAAATTTGAAAGTGTTTTATAGGAGTAATCCTATTTTGAACCAGGGGTGTATGATTATAAAATGCATATGTCAATGCAAATGCATTAAATGGTGAGGGAACACTGCTGGAGCCAGTTTGCATGAACAACTGAAAAGGAGCCAGAAGGAGAAATTATCAAAATCAGGAGTCAGACATAAAAGGTCAGCGGAACAGAGTACAGATCCTATAGAGCCACACATAGAGGGACAAGTGATATATAAGAAAGGTGCAAAGGAGTATGGAGGTTATTTGGGAAATATTCTGGATGCGTGTAGTATACGCATAGGTGCACACAGAGCCATACAAAAGACTTGAACTAAAATCCCTAAAACATACCACATAAAATTTAACTCAAGGACAAAAGTGTAAAATATAAAACTAAGAAATTTCTACGGGACAAATGTCTTTGCACTTGGATTCAGCAAAGATAACATACCTTACACACATCATGAACAAGATCCAAAAAGAAAAGTAATAAATCATGTTTCATAAATATTAAAAACTTCCACCTAATGAAAGATTTTGTTTTGAGAATGAAACGGTAAGGCACATATTTGGGTAAAAATATTTGTGATTCTATATCTGAATGAAACTCTTTCTATACTACATAAAAACTGTTAAGTTAATTGTTTTAGAAAAATCATAAACATAGGAAAACAATTTGAATAGATTTCATGAAGGAAGACCTATAGACCTCAGCTTAGTACATGAAAAGTTGCCCATTATAATGAATCATCAGATAAAAGAAAATTCAGAACCAAGGGATTAGCACTGCCTTTCTGTTCACGAGTTAAAATTTAAAAGTCTGACCACACTAACTGTGGGAAAAGTGTAGAACTCTTCTGCATTGCTTGTGATAAAATTTCAGAAAACAGTTTGGCATTTTATTTAAAAGTTAAACATATACTTAGAATATGATCCACCACTTTTATTCCTTTGAAAGTTCATACAAAGTTTCATACAAGAATATTTAATGCAGCTTTATTTTCAGTAAATGAAAATTATAGTACAAATACCTATCAAGTGAATGAAAAATTTTGGTACACCTATACAAAGGAGTACTACTCAGCAAAACATATCAAAGTACTGACACACGCAAAAATATGAGTTACTCTCAAAATAATTATTCTTGAAAAAAGAACATAGACAAAAGGCAACATTGTATACACCCATTTTTTTAATCTTTTCAGAAAGGACAGCATACCTACAGTAACAGAGAGCAGATCAGCACTGCTCTGGGAAGGTGGAGGGTAAAAAGAGTAGGGGGTGGAAAAGTATGAAATGGTAGGAGGAAATTTGTAAGCAGATAATATGTCCATTTTCTTAATAACCTAAGCAAGATTTGGGAAATGTGAATATATTGAAATTCATCAATATGTGCCCTCTAATCATGGGTAGTTCATTGTATGTCAATTCTTGTTTTATTTGACTATTAAAACAGTCAGGCAAAGAAGTGTGTTCCAAGAAAATATAAGTTGAGAATTCAAAGTCTAGACCATGGTGTCTGTTACTTGAATTTTCCTGCAGTTTATTTCCCCAAGCTCTCATAAAGTTACTTCTTCATATCCTATTACCTGGGTAAGAGAAAAATGCATAAATTCTGTCTCAGTACATCAACAGTCCACCATGTGATTTCTTCCTCTTATTTGAGTCAAACACCAAAGAAGACTCATGAACAAAGGCAGATTAACATGAACCAGGTTTTAAATATATAACTGGAAGAAGACAGGTGCTGTTGTGGCAAACAGTGGAGTGAAAAGGGAGTGCTTGTATCCAAGACATTGTCATCCTGATACAACCAGGGTTAGAGGAATCTGGCCCAGCGTTGGGTCAGCCCAGAGAGCAGTCAAGTGAGGGAGGGTGGCTGGTGATCCAGGCAGCCCACTTCTATAGCCCATTAGGCCTCTTGGTATAACAAGAATTCTGTGTCTTACATGTCTACAGATTTTCTGTTCAAAAGAAGGAACAGGAGTGGTACTGACTATGACCTTCAGTCCTCCTATGAAGTTCCACTTTCAGAACTTGAACTGGGGACTCAGGTGAAAGCACCAATTCAGAGGATCTCTTTACTTGATGAAGTTCAGCTTCCATGAGCACCAATGGGCCAGGAATGATAAGGAAAACAATGAGTAATAATCCTGGTGGCAAGTGTGAATCCAGACTTGTTAAAACACTTCCTGC